ATATGAAGAGGATTAATCTTTTTTGCTTGTAACCTATTTTTAATTTTCGATTGAGAGATTGATCAATGTTTTTGTTTTATTTGTGGATTCATCAGATAATGATTGTGCAGGGCTAGTTTGTCTGGCTGCCAAGCCAAAGGATGTAAATTTGACATGTTTCAGGAGCGAGCATTTAATATTTAAGTATATCTGTAATTCTGTAACACCTTTCTAATTCTGCCTAGGAAGAAAGAATATCTAAACCTGGAATATAAAAGATAACCCGCTTTGTAATTTGCTCTAGTGTTGAAGGGTTTTTGAGATAGTGGTCCCCCGAAACTTTAATATTTTGAGATAAGTCTCCCAAAACCAATTATTTCTTATAGTAGTCACCCAAGAGCATAAGATAACCCAAAAAGGGTAAGTTAGCTCTTTTCCATTCCTATCTAACTCGGGTATAGTTAATACCCAGCTTTATAGTACCCTACCTGAATTAAACTCATTTATGAATGGCAGAGGGAGTTGCTAATTGAAATTCCCCTTTCCTCCTTTCTTTCCCATTCTCCTTCCTCCCCAGTAGCGGTAAAATAAAAACTAGCTAAAAATAAGCTGCGCAGAGAAGAGCCCCTATTGGTTGGAAGTGATCTAAGCTTTCAAAGTGTAGGTGTTTGTTGAATGATTCTGAAAATTTTGTAGAAATTTGTCTAGAAAACAGTTTGTTGCAAAACAATTAAATTTTGTATTAGACTTGTACACTCGTTTCAAGTCAATCTTGCTTTTGTATGAAGATCCACGTTATGGTTAATATTATCCAATTTCTAATGCTATATTCATTTTGTCAAATAATCTCATGACAAGCTTAGGTGCTGCATATTTGCTTTAGTTTGTCTCCAATGTCAATATGATGTTAACTGCAAAATTTCGGAGAAAAACGGTTTAGCATCAAAGAATTTGGAGAGAAGATTGAGGAGAATTTGACTTTTTTAAAGAAGAATAAATGTAATATGGATTATGGGTGGGAGGAGGGGGAGAGACTTTTAGATATATCTGTTGGAGGGGTGAGAGAAGAAAGGGACATAAGTAGAAATTCAAAAAATTAACAGACTTTAATTTTGATTTGGATTAATAATTAATATAACGAAACTAGATTGCATATCCTTCTTTGAGGTAACTTAAAACTTTTAGGGGACTAATTTCGAAATACTAGGTTTGGGGAACCTATATCCAAATAATAAAGTTCTAGCGACCAATATTTTAAAAATCCAATGTTGAAACATCTCGATAAAAAAATGTGTGCTAGTTCATAGGTCATCTTACTATAGGTTAATAAACTGATAAAACACGAATCAGTGCGGCTAAGTGGGTAGACATATATATCAAGATGTGACAATGCATATTCGTTAATCTCATACATGTACACAAAAAAAGTTAGCTAAGAAAACAAGGACCTCCTTAACATTGATCAACTGGTTTGTGAAATTATGTACTTTTTGATAAGAAGCTTGTCAAAATGAGCGGTTAATTCAAGGATATGAATTCACAATTTGTGGAAGCCTTCATATAATTTTATTGAGATCCTATTATCCTTCAACTTCAACTGAAATCCAGTAAATTTATAGTTCAATGAGCTTTTCATTCATTAATAAATTACTTCACTGGAAATTCTCATTTAGCGAATCGAACATCGGCCCATGGATTTAGGCATACATGTATGCATTTGATTTCAAAGACGCTACATTCCATGTATTAACTTGCTAGCATTGTGCTTTAATCTTACTAAAGGATTTATAATTAGTAGAACAAAAGGCAGAAAAAATAGAATGTAATTTTTGTAAAATTATGAATTAAAATGAGCCTATAGTACATATTTACAGACAAAGTACCTAAGAGTAATCACTTTTGTTATTTAGGTCATGTTATTTATTATGATGCTGAGATTGAGTTTGATGAAGTTCATCAAATCAAATCAAGATGGTTAAATTGAAAGAATGCTTCTGAAGTCTTGTGTCACCATAAAATACATATGAGATTTAAGGGAAAAATTCTATAGAACGGTTATAAGACCAACAGTGAACAATGTTTTATAGATTAGAATGTTGGACAACTACAAAACATGTTCCAAGTATACATAAAAGATAGCATAAAAATGAGTGCACTCGCCAGAGATAAGATGTTGCTCTAGCTGAGGATAAAAGAGAAGGCCACTTAAAGCATTAGTTAGGGGAAGTAATAATATTCTAGTTGATGGTGCAAAGAGTACTAGAGGTAAACCTAAAAGAAATTGGTTGGAAGCAATTAAGAATGATATGATAATAGTTAAATCAACAAAGGAGATTTTTTATAATTAAATATGAAAGAAACAGTAAGATTCATGTGGCTGACCCTAAACATTTGGGATAAAGTCATTGTAGTTTTTTTATTATTATAGTCTTGATTTGTTCTTATATATAGGAAATGATGAGCATGAGGTGACAAATATTACTCGTCACATCAAGTAGGTGGGTTTCACCTTCTATCTCTTGATAGCGCATTTAACAAAATAAGCCGTCACCTCATAATCATTGAATCTGTATGTATCATATATGAATGTGTACAATATATGTAAATATATATAGGCATATTGGATATGAGCTATCATCTTATATAGTAAATGAGCAACTAAGAGATAAGAGTGGTAAGATCCACATCTTCCAGTATGGCTAGCTCGGTTGGCCTCACGTAGCAAGCGGCACTCTATCAACCGTTCTTCTCTTGATAGGTAATTTAGTAAAATGAGCTACCGCATCATATAAACTATTTCTGTACATAGATATATGTATACACACATATGTAGATATACATAAGCACACAGAAATATACACACATACATATATACATATACATAAATATACATATACATATGTATTGCCTGTAATACTCTTAGGCAATAACTAGCTTGGTTATGACTACTAGCAAAAATGTGTATAATGCAATAAAATGGGACAATCCATTTTGTTCATCTTGATCTACATATCCTAATGATCAAGTAACTGGAAAAAAAATGATGTATGTTGCGTGTACATTACTCATGTATCAATTGTTTGCATAAATTAACATTTTCCTAACTATACAACAAATAATATTGATGTGCCACTACTTCTAACCCCTATTTTAGGTTCACTTTAGTTGTATTGTAAATGAGGTTGTGTGTCCCTTAGTTGGCGTCATTAATACCGTAATATGACACATATCCCTACCATCAACTATGACCAAGATAAACGGGTGATTAGAGCTATGGGGCTCTAGATGTGTGTCATGCTAAAGAACATATCAGCTTGTGCGTGTGTGCGTGTGTATATATACTGTATGGGTAGGTGTGTGCGTGTGTGTAGTGTGTATGGGTGGGTGATGGTGGTGAGTGACAACTCATTTTACTAGATGAGCTACCAAGAGATAGAAATGGTGTAGCCCACCCATTCAATGCAACTTTTAGGCGGGTTTCTCCACTCGTCTATCTCTTGGTGGCTCCTGCCACACACACATACATATAGTTACGAGGTGACAACTCATTTTGCTAAATGAACTGCCAAGAAATAGCCATGTGTTGTGTCGCGCATGTGTGTATGTATACTATATATAAAGAGAGATGTATGTACTTGTAAACATGGGCTAGTGTGTCCCTCTGCTTTCTCTACTTGTATGCTATTGACGTGGCAGACACACAGGTCATCGGGTATGATCTGGATATGTTGATATCTCGACTATGGTGATTAGTGACATGGATGTGTCTCACGTCAGGGAAACACCAACCAAGAGCATGGAGGGACACACAATCCCTATTTAATCTCTGTATGAGTGTAACACAATAAGACATGCATGCACTTGTATTATGAAAAAATATGGCTATTTCTTCTGGCTTTTGACATAGATAATCTTCATTTATCTGAAGGTTGGAACTTGGATCATAGATAATCTTCATTTATCTAAAGGTTAGAACTTGGATCATACAAGGGTCTTACATGAGTTAGAAGATGGCCAAATTAAGCCGCAGATGACCCCCCAACCACTGACAGTCAGTTTTAGGCACACTTTTGCCAGTTGTGGCAAGTCATCCTTGGCTTAACTTCTCTCTCTTCTTCCTCATATGAGGCTTTGCATGAGAATGGAACATATTACTTTCATATTTGTATTTCCTTTCTCTGTTTTGTTTTGTGTTTTTATGCTGTACCTGACATAGTTTCTGGTCTATATATAGACGAGTACTCCATGAAAGATCTTTATTCTTACTCTTAAGAGAATTCAAGACAAGTGGCCCATCATGAAGTGGATCTAAAGTGGGACCGAGAAAGATATCTAGTAGAATATAAAACCATAGTCCTTAACCCTGACCACAACTTCAGAGTTTTGGTGTAATGGTTATGGACTTTTAAGGTAGTATCATAACACAGGTTCAAATCCCACTGGCCGTGAATTTAAAGTGGATTGTAAAAAAATTGATACCGCTGGTGAGTCCACGTTTTGGCCCATAAAAGGGCGCTCAATCTGTGGAGACATGTTAGAATATAAAACTATAACCCTCAACGCTCACCACATCTTCAAAGTTTTGATATAATGGTTAGGGGCTTTAAGACTATCTAAATTTTCTTTTGTGTAGGATAGTTCTAGGGTCTGGAGACAGGAATATGTGGTGTGAGCTTACTTGCTTGTTTGGTTATTGTTTGATTTGAATATTATCTGTAGGTGGAAATATTATGAAGGTCCATCGTTTACCTTTTGAGCCACTATGCCACCAAGTTCTGCTTATTGTGTTTTGTGGCTCAATTGGGAGGGAATGAGATGGCACTGAAGTTCCTCTTTGAAGCATTTCCTCTAGGGCTAGAACTTCTCATTGTGCAGCTTGCAATAGTCTTGATGAAAAAAATTGCTGAAAATATTATATTTCTGTTCTTTCATGTAAAGACAATTAGAACTGGAATGCATATGGTTGAGATTTCTGAGAACCAACTGTCACAATCTCTTATCAATTTTATTTCTGCTTGCAGCTGTAAAGGTGAGTGAATTTGGATTAAACTAGGCCCATTGTGATGCACTGCTTATGAAGCTGGACGTCAATGTCATTGCAATGTCACTTAATGGTATTTGCTGCTTAAAATGTTGAGTTTGAGTATTTATTAGTTGGTATTATTTTTCAGACTACTGCATCCATAAGTTAACAATTAAAGCTATGTATAAGAGCATATAGGATCATATCCCTATCAATTTCATAGGTTAATTGAAGCTCTCATAGATATGGATGAGGTCCACTTTTTCTAATATATCCCAATTGGAGTTGGCATTTTTTAATACAATCTTCTTTATCTGATCACAGGTGAAGATGCTTTTTAGCTGGGTCCTTGTTTGCTATGCAGTGCCTTGAATTTCCAACGCGAGATGGTAAGTGTCCTGAATTTGCTATGTTTTTCTTGGAGAGAATTTGATCCTGTCAAATATGAAGTGCAATAGACAAGGTTTTATGAGAGAGATGTCTCTTCGTTGACTTCCAGTACTTCTCTTTTCTTTTGTGATCAGTTTTGGAATTTATTGAAGATATATTCTCCATTGACTTCCAGCACTCTCTTTCCTTTGTTAGCCGTTTCTGGATAGTGGCGTTTGCGGGGCCCTCCTACATGAACGGACACATGAACAAGGACTGGCTAGTTGATTGGTTAAAGAGCATAGGTCTTATAAATCATTTCATTTATAGATTGATTAACATATTTTAGAGTTTATAAAAATTCAACCCCAAAGCTAAATAAAACTCTTTGGTCGTTGATTTCCGAAACTATTTAAGATTTTAATTTAATTGAATCTGGATTCATTCAAGTGCAGACATATTAATTAAATTAAATTGACAAATTAGCCTCAGAAAGAAAGGAAAGAGGAGCATGGCTGTAGACCGTCTGCTTTAGGTTTATTCAAAACATAATTCTTAAGTGGATTTTGATATATCTATTCTCCAAGTTGCTTTTTTTTTCCATCTTTGCTAAGGTTCAGAATACTAAATTATAGTGGTCGGAAAAGGATACAGGAAAAGAAATGTAATCTCCTGGGTGCTACCCCATGATCAGAGGTTTTCAAAATAGGACTGTCCTATGACAGCTACTTCTACTCTCTCTCTCTCTCTCTCTCTCTCTCTCTCTCTCTCTCTCTCTCTCTCTCACCCACCAGACTTGGGTAATTTCTCCCTCAAAAAGAAAAGGAAAACAGTAAAGAACAAGTAAGGTGTACTCTATCCAGTATTTATCAAATCCTCTCCCTTATCCCCAACACTCAGTCTCAATCTAAATAATTCCCCCCACCACCCTCCTTTCACCCATTCATGAAGGCAACAATCCAGAGGTTCTTTATCCTTCTCCTTCAGCTGTCTCTCACTCTAGTATCGATGTGATAGACAATACTTGAAGAAATCACATACAGAATCAAATTCCAAAATGATTAGACAATAATACTTCTCTTCATCTGATATTTATGCATTAATTAGGATAAGAAAAGATAGCTCCCAAATCAAACTCTGTTACGCAAACAGAACTTACGAACTTAAGAGTAGGATACTAATAGATTTAAGCCTATATTTATGACATTGAGATACATTGTTCATTATTTATTCAAAATATTTGCATGGGCTGGAGAGCAGACTTCAAGGATTTCATCTAGGCAATGTTGCATGGGCACTTCTATTATGAAGCTGTACCAGTACCCAACACTTCCCATACATGTACAGATGCCGATACTCGTTGATTATATGCATTCATTTAATCTGACATGTACTCGATTATATAACACGTTTTTAATTTAAAACATTTTCGCACACTTCTTGGACATTTATCATGCTCTTCACATCCAATTTCTGAAACTTGTCGCACAAGGGTTAGGTTCATTTGAACATACTTAGTTCATAACTATGATTTTAGAGGATTGTTTGCTTATCTAGTTAAAAATGAGTGTGGTTCCAATTTATAATATACATAATAAAAGGAACATAAAAATGTTATAGAAAATTTGACTTTCATAACATGTGAAACAACATTGATCTCATGTAAATTATTAATTTTAATATATAACGTAGCCCTATCCTCATACGCTATTTTATACAAATTTGCCATGTCTAATGCCCGTACTCTTACTCATGCAGCATAGAATTTAGGTTATTCTCAACTTGAATTGTCAGTTGTGATCCCATTCCTGTAGTTTGTGATATTTAAATTGGCGTGCATGCAACATCTAAGTTTCTTAGTTCATGAAGAGAACTGTTAATTGATATCATTGATATATATTTGGATGAAACAATATATGATTCAATGATGTACATGCTAAGCGCATTGAACTGTTTCAAAATCTCAAAAAAGCTTATAATTGAGGTAAGTTGTTCTCATGCTAATTGGAAACAAGTATAATATATCTTTAAACATTAGACATTAAATGTACATACATCGCATGTATTTCTTGTTATTGTTATTCACATTGTATGATGCACATATTAGATATAGGTATTTGGAGAACTTTTAATTCGTAACTTGTGAGCCCCTACTGCATGCCTATCATGATATATACCTGTATGAGTTACAATGGTGCTCAATGTAAACCCCTTTACGAGGATTGGATATTGCACAACCTGACTGCAGAAATGGAAGACCCTCTGGATGTTACTTTCATATATGTACTCGTGTTCTCATTTTGCATTTAGGCCTTCATTAGCAATGCCATATAAATAATTATCTGCCCTATGGAATTTTGGTACTTTCACCCTTAAAAGGGGAATCTGGAGTTTTTGTTGTTGTGGGTACGTAGTGCAGATGAGAAAGATATTTAGATTCTCGTACCTTTTATAGGGTGATATCAGGTGTCCGGAGAAAGGAATAGGGTTTATGAGTTATAAGTATTTGTTGGATTTTAATCTCTGTTGTATATGAGAAAGATATTGAGAAAAGGTCTATGCATGAGCTCCTTATGGCAACTTTTCAAGGTTATGCTTGCAATCTACCATAAAGATCCATGGCAGGGGATGAAATGGCATTGAAGCTCGTTTCCCTAAAGGAAGAAGCCCACTTTACTTACAACCTTAGTTTATTCTAAGTGGAAACATAATGATGCTGGAAAACACACGCACACACACACGTACATACATGCATATATTTTTTATACTGTAGAAAACCACAGTTGCAATATCATATTCCATATCATTGTATTTGGTTATCTCTATAAGAAAAATTTTGAGTTCCAATTTTTTAAGGTGACATTTTTATTAGATTATTTGGGAACTTACCTTTTGTTGCAAGTAAATGTAGCTGTGAATCTTTTAGTGATTATGGTGACAGTAGTCTAAAGTATCTCTGAAATTCACAAGTTTCGAGCGTGAAGTCCAGTTAAAGAATTTTCAGAATTGATGCCTGCATTCTAACTACAAGTATAATTGAGATTCTGTCAATTACTTAGTGACTGAAAGGAGATGTTTCGCCAATCAGAATGAACCTCTTTCTTTCTTTCTTTTTTTCCTTTAATTTTTCTGATCTGAAGATAAAGGGTTAATAGGGATAGTAGCACTTTTTATGAACAGCATTGTGATATCCTTTTTCTTTTTTCTCTCCAAATTTCAAATGCATTCTAAACTGGAATTTTTGACATGGCGATTGTTTCATGAGAAAGTGTTTGAGCATAAAACTATATCTCATAACTCTTTGTATTAATTCAAAGAATGCTCCAGTTTATTCCAATATCAGAAATTATCAAGTTATTGAAAGTTCATATATTCAACTATGGTTTTAAGGGTTTTCTGCCATGTTTGTTGCAAGTAAATGTAGTTATCATCTTTTAGCAAGGATCCCCTTGCACAACTTGAGTAGTTGGAATTATCATATCAGAAATTCACAAGTTTTCAATGTGAACCCTAGTTGAAGATTATTTTAGAGTGAATGTATTACAGGTATAATTGAGATTCCACCAATTATTCAGTGACTGAAAGGAGAGGTTTTGCCAACCATAATGAACCCCTTTCTTTTTTTCCGTTAAATTTTTATGTTCTTACTTAGCTGAAGAGAAAGGGTTAATAGGGATAGTAGATAATTCAGAAGTAGGCAAATAGCCAGCACACTTCTTATGAACAGCTTCATGATCTCCTCTTTCTTTATTCTCCCTCCAAATGCCAAACACAGGCTAAATAGGATTTTGGTCTGTCTGTTATATCATGAGGAAGTGTTTGGAAAAACTATGTCACACAACTTGTTGCATTAATTCAAACTAGGCTTCATTTTATTCGAATATTAGAAATTATCAGCCTATTGAATGTTCATAAACTCGACTATGGTTTCAGGGCTTCCTGCAATATTATTCTACTGATGCCCTTCATGGGCGCATTTCTAGCTTTAATGGATATAGATAAGACATAATGTGTTTAGTATGGAATTGATTATGGACAAGTAGCTGTTGTTCCTAAAGTTTCTTATCTAGTTCCTGCTGCGGATGCCTTGAATTGGGTCAAGGTGCCTTGTTGTCTGTTAGCTGGACTTCACACCTCAGTTTCCTGTTTAGATCATCCCATTGGAACTTGAGATGATGAGTGTGCCTAATTTTCTAGATTTTCATTATAGAGGGAATTGGATTCTTTCAAGTGCCAGTGTATTATGAGATAATTGTCTCCATTGGTCTCCATCTATTGTTATCCTTTGGGATATTTTTCTGGAACATATCAAAAATATGTGCATGCATGTGGGGACAACCGACAAAGTCATGCGTATACTTGATGTGTCTCCCTTTAAAAATGGGATTTGTAGCTGCTTTTTGCATCACCTGCAGAGCATAAAAATGATCTTCTAAAGGGATAAATGTCTCACATTTGTCTACTCATAGAAGTATGTTTGTTTGGAATTGACTATGATAATTTCTTACGTATGTTTATGCAGTTCTTTGGTTATAAACATGTGATGACTATATATATTCATTATGCGCTGAGTGCTAACTTATCGTTGTAGTGAAGTTTTCCCCCCCTTTTCAAAGGGGTACAAAATTTCGGTATGCTGCTAGAATAATTTCACTTAAGTTTCTTAATTCTGAGAAGAGTTATGAACATATGAAGGGGAATAATCTTTCTTTGCCCCCTCTTGGAGTCTATTTTCGGTTTTGAATTGAGAGATTGGTCAGTGAGTCTTTTTTTTAATTCTGGATTCATCAGGTAGTAATGATTTTGGGGGCTGTTTTGTCTGATTGCCATGCGAATTGAAGTTGTTTTAGGATTGAGCATTTAACATCCAAGTAGATCTAGAGCAGCTTTCTACTTCTAACTGTGAATGAAAAATTCTAAGACTAAAATACAGAATTTGAAGTTTGCTCAAATGTTGAAACATGTCTATATAGGTTTGTATAAGCAGCATGCTAGGCATATATATGAGGATATGACAATGCATTTCCATTGGTCTCATACTTGTGCACAAAATAAGATAACAAAGAACCAGAAGGAAAATCTCCCTAAGAATGATGGACAGACTTGTGAAATTATTCACTTTTTGATGAGAAGCTTGTCAAATGAGTGGTTAATTCAAAATATGAACACAACTTCTGGAACCCTTCATATAATTTACTAAAGCTCAGAGAATCTTTCAGCTGAAATCCATTACATATAGAGCTCATTGAAACCTCAGTCGTCAAGAAATAACATGACAAACTCCTGTGATGGATAGAACTATTACCCCATGGATTTTGATTCAAAATGTAAGAAATATTACCTCATGGATTTTGATTCAAAATGTAAGAAATGTAACCCCATGGATTTTGATTCAAATGTATGTATTTGATTTTGAAGGGACTATATTCCATAAATCTATGTAATACACGTGCATCTGGGTGTATGCGTGCATTAAGTGTATATATAAATGTAGCATATATACATGTGTGTGCACGCACATGCGTGTGCTTGGGGAGCGGGTGGGTGGTGTGCTTGCGGGTGGGTAGGTGTGCATGGGGCGCAATGAAAATAATGGATATGAGGTGACAAACCATTTTACTAAGCGACCTACCAAGTTATAGACTAGTGTTAGGTTCACTACTAGCTACGTCGAAGATGTTGAACCTCACCACTCACATCTGTTGAAAGGTCATTTTACTATATGAGGTGTAGGGGTAGAAAGGAACCAATTAGTTAACAAACAGTTCATCTAAGTATTCGCTCATATTCGATTCGGTAGTTCATTTAACAATAAGCGAATTATTTTTAGTATTTGCTATATAAACGAATAGAATTTAGCCAAATGTATATTCTATTCGTTTGATTGTTAAATATTCGTTTATGTTTTTCTACTTTTATATTAGAGTTAATTGTGAACAGACCCCCTATAGTATCACCTAACTGTGAATAGATCCCCTTTAGTACTATTTTTACAAATAGAACCCTGAGTGAAATTTGTTTACTCTTAAAATCGTTAAAAATATTTGAGGAGGTAGGTAAACTCCCTACAGTTCTGTTGGTGAGGGTAGTTCCTCAATTGCTAATTTATTTTGATTTTTAAGAGTCGAAAAAGTTCACTAGGGGGTATATTCGCAAATGGGTCAATACTACAAGGGGGGCACTCACCACAAATAGAACTACAGAGGATCTATTCGCAATTGAGTGATACTATAGGGGATCTGTTCACAATTAACCCTTTATATTATTACATTATATTATCTTTTAAGTGTGCATAATTTGTAAATATTTCTATTTATAAATATTATATTAATAACTTATAAATATATAATCTAATAATTTTTATAGTGAAATATCATAATGACAATTAAGTAAAACCTTAAAGAAGATAAATAAGAAAATACTTCAAACATAGGATTTGAACTCAAGACTTCATGTTTAAGAAACTTGCATCCTACCGAGTGTGCTAATTGAGACTCGTGAAATTTTAAAGAATATTCAGCTAATTAATGATTCGAATTTGAACACTCTTTTCCTATTCAACTCAAATTCGAATTTGTCAAAACTAACTGAATTCGAATCCAAATACCATAGTATTCGATTTTAAATTGGTTCATTTCCACCCCTAACAATATCCCCCATATGTGAGAGAGAAAGAGAGATGAGGATGAGCTAAAAACTTTTTCAAATCATACTTAGTACTCTGAGGATGTAGACTAGTGGTATTGTTCATGTTGCTAGGGTGTACCTCCCTACTCTTTTCTTTTACAAATTGTTTTGGGAAATAAATTTTCAAATCATACTTAGTACTCTGAGGATGTAGACTAGTGGTGTTGTTCATATTGCTAGGGTGGACCTCCCTACTCTTTTCTTTTACAAATTGTTTTGGGAAATAAATTTTCAAATCATACTTAATACTCCAGCACACAACACACACATAGATAATGGTTAGACTCAACCTTCTAGTCACATCGGAGCATGTGGACCTCACCAATGTCCTTTTTTCGTAGCTTATTTTGTAAATGAAATAGCAGTCCATATCCACTCCACTATCCTCATATGTATGGACATATATGTATATGCATATATATATATATATATATATATGTGTACATACTACATATATATCTATACATACATACAATATACGAGAGACACACATATATGTATATATGTGTATGTACATATACATACACATGTATATCTGCACGCACATGTATGAAGAAATAAGTATGAGGTGCCAATTCATTTTACTAAATAAGGTACTAAGAGATAGACTAGTTATGGTAGTAGGAGGACCTCGCCACTGCTATTTCTTCGCAACTCATTTTGATTAATAAAACGATAACTCATTTTACTTCTACCAAGAAAAGATGTGGCGTCGCTCATCCTCCCTATCACATCGGAGCGGGTAGATCTCACCATTCCCATCCATTGACAATTCTTTTGACAAATTAGCCGGTAGTTCGCACCTAATATACTTTACATATACATACATACATGCATTCATGGTAGTTCACCACTAATTCATCTCATAGCCACTTGCATATATCGGGTTAATAGTAAAGCTGTCACTTCATCGTGTTAAATGAGAGACAGAGATAAAATATGGTGAGACCCATACATTAGATGTGACTGGTAGGGTCAACCTTACAAGTCTATTTCTTGGTAGCCCACTAAGCAAAATGTGCTGCCACCTCGTTTAATAAAATGAGCCGCTAAGAGCATGTTTGGGAAGTGACTTATTTTAACTTATATGTTTTTTCCCCTCTTATAAGTTATGAGGGTCCAAGATCATGTTTGGCAAATTTTACTTACTTTTTACTTATAAGTAGGAAAAAGAAAAGTTGAGATTTTTCCAACGTATTGTTTTTGGCACTTATAAGGAGGTTTAGTAATTGATGTTAAAAGGCTATTTTGCCCTCTAACAAAATAATAATAACTAATTTATAAGGTTTCATAAAATAAGTATAGGCAAACATGCCCTAAGAGATGGAAGTGGTAGAGTCCACACATTTCGATGTGACTAGTAGGGTGGGCCTCAAATATCATATATATACGTATGTGCATATATGTATATGAGTACGTACACACACTCAATAACCGCAGACAACACAAATACACATACATCGTATATTGTCGAAATTCTGGTTTCTTCTCTTGCTTTATCACATGGATAATCTGCATTATCTGAAGGTTGGATCATGCAAGAGCCTTACATAAGTTAGAAGAGAGCCAAATTAAGCCGCAGATGACCTCCCAACTACTGACAGTATGTGACTAGTAAGGTGGGCCTCAAATATCATATATATACGTATGTGCATATATGTATATGAGTACGTACACACACTCAATAACCGCAGACAACACAAATACACATACATCGTATATTGTCGAAATTCTGGTTTCTTCTCTTGCTTTATCACATGGATAATCTGCATTATCTGAAGGTTGGATCATGCAAGAGCCTTACATAAGTTAGAAGAGAGCCAAATTAAGCCGCAGATGACCTCCCAACTACTGACAGTAAGCGCTGAAAACACTCTTGCCTATTGTGGCAAGTCATCCTTGGCTTAACTTCTCTCTCTCCTTCCTCAGATAAGGCTCTGCATGAGAATTGGAACACTTTTCATATTTGCATTTTCTTTTCTCTTTCTCTTGTGTTCTTCTGCTGTTTCGAGCTTACATTACTTCTGGTCTATATATAGTGAAGTGCTCTTATTCTGACTCTTAAAGGAATCTGAGGAAAAAGGACCCTAAGCTTGAAGTGGGTCTAAATTGGGACCAAGAAAAGTGGGACCAAGAAATCTGTGTTGATTTTCTTTTGTTGTGTAGGGTTATACAGGATAATTTTAGGTGTACGGAGAGGAGAATGTGTTGTGAGCTTATTTATTTGTCTTGTGTTCTTCTGCTGTTTCGAGCTTACATTTCTTTTGTTGCGTGATGTTCCGTAATTTATCTTTCAACCAGTACGCCTGTAGCCGCTATGCCTGTAAGCTTTGCTTATTGTCTTTTGTGGCTCAATTGTGGGCGAATGCGATTGCATTGAAGTTCCGCTAGCCTACGTTCAGCTAGCTAAAGTTCTGATGCAAAAATGCTTGGGTGATGATACAAGTTTTGTTTTTACGTATAAGGACAAGTAGAACAGGAATATGTATGTTTGAATTTTCATAGGACCTGCTTGCTATTTCTACAATTTTCGTTATATTGTCAACTATAAAGATGAGTGGATGTGGATTAAACCTAGGCCTCTACGATGTAATCCACGCTTACTGAGCTAGACCTAGATGTTATTGCAATGCCACTTAATGATGCTTGCCTGCTTAACTGTTGAGTTTGAATGTTTAGTAGTTGAATATTTAATTTAATTTTTTTTTCAGATTATTGCATTCAGAAGTTAATAATAAAAGTTGTGTGTTAGAGCATAGGATCATATTCCTAATGATTTCACAGAATAACTGAAGCTGTCATAGATATGGATAAGGTTTTGTCTAATATATCCTATTGGGAGTTGTTATTCTCTAATAAAACCTCCTTTATCTGATTACAGGTGAAGATGCTTTTTTTAGCTGGGTCAAAGTTCTTGTTTGCCATGCATTGGCTCGAATTTCAACTCCAACTCGGGAAAGAATCCCACAGAGGACCCTCTATGCAAAATTGTATGAGAAGGACATCGTGACATGCATCCATCAGAGATTTTTTACTTGGCGACTGATAGAGTAGTGTGATTTTACTGATGCAGTATTGGTGATTGCATTAATACAATACTATGATTGTACTGATACAATACTCTGATGCAATACTCTGATATCAGTGATATCAATTCCACTGATATGTATTAACGATTGAATTGATGTTGAATTGGCGATGAGGCACGTGTCATGCTCTTTTTTCCTCCTCCCCGTATGATCTTCCATGGAGAGTTCTCTATAGGTCTTTTTCCGTGTTGTAGTACAGACAATTCTAGCTGCGCAGCAAGTGTGCTGACTTTGCTAGGTTCCTCTTGGAGAGAATTGGATCAAATATAAAGTGCAACAGATGATAGAGTTGTCTCTCCATTGACTTTATAGTACTTCTCTTTTCCTTCAGGCATCAGTTTTGGAACTTTGTTGAAGATAATGTTCTTGCTTGTATGGATCACTTTACTGATAATGTTCTTGCATTTGTGGATCGCTTTACTGTCTGTCATGTCTCCTCTTTGAACTACTGGTGTTTGCACAAGCATCAAGTTTGTGAGAATCACGCATTTAAGACATGAATAAATATTGGCCCGTTTGGTTGCTTAGCAATCATAGGTCTCATGAGTCTTTTATTTCGAACCAACCTATATTAACTTGAGTTCGTTAATATGTGCTTATAATCACATATACTACACTTGTAAATCTAACATTCCGGAAAAACCTTTGCACTCTGTTTCTGCTAAGATTGCTTAATATGTTTTGAGTATTTGGATAGCTTTTCCTCCTTTCTTCGGATAAATGACATCTATCATCTGTTTTCAATAGTTGAACCAATGAATAAAAAAACAAACCTAAGAAACTTTAGTTATTGAGCATCCTTTTATTGCTGAAATATTATAAAAATTACATGATAAGTTCATATTAGAGTCAACATTCAATCTCCTCTCAGTAGAACGACATAACCAAGGGCTTCAATACTTGAAACTATAAACAAAGATGGAAAAGTAAAATCTAGCGAGTTTCTCCACGTTCAAATAGCTGCCGGAATACATAGTCTTCAATGAATTGATCTGCAATCGTATAATTGTGAGAGATCTCAAGCCTCGACATTTAAGCTAGTTTCCAAAGGCAAGAAGATTACGCAGGGGAAACCGCTTGCATTCTTGATCGTTTGGTTTCCATCAGTTCATCGGTGTCGCCAGCTTTTCATGAGAAATGTCGCCAGTTGAAACCAAAGAGGGCAGAACATATAAATAAATGAAATTTATTAACAAGGCTTGATATGTACATGGGCCTTCATGATCCCAAACTAGATTTTCTTACAGCAGCAAAAAGCACAAAGAATATGGGAGATACAAGAAGCAAGAGATAGGGAAGAGCTTGTCCCAATACAGTTTCACCTTGTTCTTCCTCAGTAGTGCTGTAGTTGTTTTTGTTTTCTACAAATGCATCAAAATAGTTCTCATAACCAGTTATTCTTGAGAAAGATGAACTTTTAACCTTCATCATTTCCATAGCCTGTAGAAAGCAAAAAAAATAAAAATTTAAAAAATAAAATAAAAAAAATAAATCATTTTTTGTTTATTTTTTACCAGTTCCGACCTCTGCTTTTTTTCCAACAGTAAGTAGCAAGATGGAGATGATAATGGAGACATTAATATAAACATAATTAACGTTACCTGAAAACTAAACACAAACTGTCTTGCTTTTTTGCTCACTTGGACATTTGGGTGAGATTGGAGCTTCTCATACATTGCTCGTGCCTCACTTGACCTGAAAAAAAAGTTAAAAAGTTCTTTTCAAAAATAGAAAAATGAAAATAATTGTCCAAGAAGAGAACAACATGGCTCCAAACTGAAAACTGGCTACATATGTTGTGTGCTCTTGAAGGTTGTATCATTAAGAAACCATTTTTTAAGGGAGAAGCCTTGGTTGCTAACACTTTCTGCCTATTAAAATTTTAGGGCATGATAGAAAAATCATTTCAGAACAATAAGCCACCTGAATCTCAGGGTAAAAGTTGGCTTTCTTCTTGCATGTTGCAAAACTTATTGTCCACTCAAACTTAATATACTGCTTAGTAGCATACTCATCTCACAAACAGTTAAAAAGACCTATCTAGCTTAGATGGTAAATTGAACACGAAAAATATTGATCCAAAATTTTTAACAGCTCACACAAAATTTGAAAAACATTGGCTGTTTAGTGACTGCAATAATACCTTCTAAGTGAATCTTGGCAAATTGACCACTGCAGAGCAGCCAACCCATGTAGCTCACTCTGTAAATCAATATCATAAAAATAAAAAATCAAAGTTACAATATAGGAATCTGAATCAACAAAAAATCTGAAATTATTCTCAGATGTTTAGCAGAAAACACATTTCCTTCTCCTATCAGAATTTCAAATGTCAGGGGTCAAACAAGGAGGAGACCCTCTTTTGTATACTGCAGATTAAGGAAAGAGTCGAAAGACATTTCTTTTGAGTCTCGTATCATAACTTAACAAGAGTAAGCGTATAGGAGGATTGCTCGAAATAAGTTGGAAGATGGCAAGCAAGTAATATTGTAGTGAGTTTAATGGGGGTTCCATCCTTCCTTTGCCACCTAAGGTGATCAAAAGATTGGAAAATTGTGCTACAGAAGCTCGAGCAGAAAAGATGGAAGAATTGAACTATCGAGTGGGAGGTATCGAGTTGTTACTTCTAAATAGTAATAAGTAATTTTCTTATGCCATGATATATGAGATGAATATATCCAAATAATAAGAATTTTTTTTTTCAGAGGCAAAGTCAGGTTAACAACATAAAAAATGTGTAAAGGAAATGACTCCTTGTTATATCACACAATACACTATTAAGGGAGAAGGAAATTTCAAGATCTTATCACTGCCTTGAAGGGAAGAATTTATTTTGAATATATGAGGGCGCTTGTACTTCCTAGCCATAGATGGATGGTTTCGCAGGATACATTAGTAAACTAGTCACTTATACACGAAACATTTTGCACACATTTAGCCATTTTAGAGCATGTTGTCCAAAGATGATATTCCAGAAATGTACATTTAACCATCATCAATTGAAATGGTACCTGAAAAACTACACTCTTCATCACTTTCTCATAATAGGGAAGTGCTTCTCGCAGTTCTCCAAGATCCATCAAGTTATCACCTTCTTTCAGTGCCTACATTCAAGATAATAAGTTATTCAAATTTTGTTTTTGTATGCTGACTTTATGTTGCCAAGAAAAGTACAAAAATGTCGTATGTTTTACTGCTGTGCTTGCAAAATTAATCTAGATTAAGATGACTACATAAACTGTACTGTGCGTCAGGCAGCAGTGTACATATTTTTCATGTACATGGAGAGAGATGTTTAAACCAAATGCATACTATTGAGTGTCAATACAAAATTAAAAAATGTTGAACAAAAAAAAATCAAATTCAAAGGCAAATTTAGTCCAAGGATATGGCAAAAATCCTTGTGCATAAAACTAAATAAGTAAACTTTAATTACTCCTACAAGTATATCCAAGGCTACCTATCCCTACATTCATGCACAATCCTTGTGCATAAAACTAAAATTATCCTCCAAAAGAAAAGATAGTAACACAAAAAGAAAAGAGAGAGAGAGAGAGAGAGAGAGAGAGAGAGAGAGAGGGAGAGGGAGAGAGAGAGAGAGAGAGAGAGATCTGAGAATGATAATAGACTTAATGTTGAAACAAACAAAACCAAATGTAAATCACAGACTATACTGCGAGTGCTTGACTACATAATTGACTGATATATGTTAAGCAAAAGAAATAAGTTATTAAAACCATAATCTATTCATCCTAATCCTATTTTCCACAAAATGCCAGTAAACCTCACCCGCTAAATCCTCAACCAACTCAACCCAACCCACTAATGGAGGGAGGGAGAGAGAGAGAGAGAGAGAGAGATCTGAGAATGATAATAGACTTAATGTTGAAACAAACAAAACCAAATGTAAATCACAGACTATACTGCGAGTGCTTGACTACATAATTGACTGATATATGTTAAGCAAAAGAAATAAGTTATTAAAACCATAATCTATTCATCCTAATCCTATTTTCCACAAAATGCCAGTAAACCTCACCCGCTAAATCCTCAACCAACTCAACCCAACCCACTAATCCCTCAACTAACTCCCTCAACCCATCACAATCTCCCCATCCACTATAAAGTTTACTCCTCACAAACGGGAAAAAAATTGATCCCAAACCTCTGTCAACTCAAACACCGAAGCAACCAAAAATTTTCTGCAAGTTCTCCCCATCATTGTCAGCTCAAACAACCAAGCAATTCATCCTAAAGTTTATTCCTAACCTTTTGTGAGTCTACAGATTCTGGCACAGCCAGTGAGACATGGCTTCTCCTTGCATCTTCAAGACGTGTTCACACAAATATAAATGAAATTTCAATTACTGCTCAATTCCTATACTAAAACATTGACTTAACTTTCAACTAATAAGAGGACCTTCGTCAGCAAATTCTTCATGAATCAACGTTCAAAATTGTTTTGATTCAAGTTGTAGCAAGAAATGACACACCCATAGTTTTTCTCAGAATCAGGGGGCAAATGATGAGCACGGGGCAACCAAAGATATGATCATGATACTGCTTGAATTTAGGAGCAACCTGAATGTCCTGCTGCTCCAGGAATAGTTATTTTGGGCATAATTCTCTCTCAGTATGCAAGAGGCTAGAATGTCAGAATAATTTTGTATGCTGCATAAAAAAATTCAATTCAAGTGCAAACTCATTTTTCAACTGGTGTGTAATTATATCACCAAGGCGAAGTATTTCAAGGACAAAAGCCTTGATACAAAAGATCATCATAACAAAGGTTAAAAATAAAAAGAAAAAGGTCCTGACATGTATCCATCGCTTTTTACATGTGAACTTGTGGATCTTGAAGTTCAAAATTGCTACAAGTTTCGAAACTTGAAAATCAACAATACTCCTTAAGTGCATGAGTATAAACAGAAAATCTGCAACCTGCAATACTCTTCAGGTGCACAAATATAAACTGCAACCCACAATACTTCTGTATGCACAAGTAAAAACTGCAACTTGCAACACTCCTACAGTGCGTGAATATAAACTGTAAACCTAGTCTTATTAGGTACATAAGATCAAACTCTATGCCTATCATCAGAAAATTTCCAAACTTTGTGGTCTATGTCAAACAAGCTTAAATTGTGAGCGAAAAAAACAGAGAAGAAATCAAGTCTTGTGCTCCTTGACTGCAAGAACCACCAACATTGTGAGCACAAAATCTTCAATGCCACATCCAAAGTCAAATCAAAAGACACACTTCTTAGGTCCATGATTATGAACTGCAATCTTAAATATACTCCAAGGGTACATGTGTAAACCCGCACAAAAAAATTGGTTGAGGACGTGGATCTCTCAGAGAAACACGGGTAAAAGATGAGCCACCGAAGACCAGGTGAAAACCCGAAAGGCCTAGGGGTAAAATTATCAAAATGGCAGCTTGCAAAAATAAAATCCCCTTTCTAAATTTGTAATGTAAAAACATAGGCAAAACCACATAGTGGAACTAGCTACGGAAAAAACCCTTAAAAAAGTACAGGCATCTAATTAGAAAATTCCAAAACCATCGTCAATTGACAAGGAGGGTCATGCTATCATTAAAACGGTATTTCAGTACAACAAGCTACTGGTGACTTAAAAATCAAAATCTCCCTGAGCCTTATGAAGAGTTCACTGCTAGTATCAAACAAAAATATATTCTTTAACACAGCAACAACTGAGGGCGCAAATAAATTCAGAAAATTTAAATCCTTCACTGTTAAATGATGAGGTCGCTCCAGTATCATTAAAATGGTAATTCAAAGCAGCGGGCTACTACTGACTTAAAAAAACAAAATCTTCCTAAGCCCTAAAAGAATTCGCTGCTAGTATTAATAAAAAAATAAAAGATACTTTAGCATAGGGACAATTAAGAGTGCAAAAAAGTATCCAAACAAAAATGCTCATTGTCTGTTTTATGAGGCTCACTCCTAGTATCAACCTTTGATTATTCAGTGTACCAGTACTTGAAGGCTTGGAAATAAAAATAAATCAAATGTTGTCTCAGGACGAGACTCATCAATGATATTACATTTTGATACTTAAATCCAACGAGCTGACAACCCAACAAATATCAGGAGCAACATTTATAAATACTTCTTGGTACATGAGTCTAATATACAAGGTATTTCAATTTCAAATAAAGTTTCACATTTCAATTTCAAATAAAGTTTCACACTGTTGACATATTAGTATTAGTTAGGAACTTATTTGTAAGTTGTGTAGGGGCCTATATAAAGCCCAAGAGATCTCATAATGAATTAGGGTTTCTATTTCAACTTGGTATCAGAGCCTTCTTCAAACCCTAGCCGCCGCCCACGTCGACTCCCACCTGGCCCCCCGATCCACACCCTCGGCTGCCCCGCCCATCATTCCAGATCAGGCCCCCACTCCTCCGCCCTCTTTCAGATACACCACGGAGGAAAAACCCCCTCCCTCTGTGCGGATCACAGGAACGGCCCCCCCTAGATTCGATACAAAGCCGCCCCCTTCAATTCCAATTCCGATCAGCCCCCCCCCTTTTTGCTACACCGTGTCGAACCTCGAGTTTGACATGGATTCCCTCGACTCAGTCCTCGAACTGATGACAGGAAGAGTATTTATCTCACTTCGATGAGAAATATAACTGTTTTTGGTTCTTGTTTCCTCTGAGAAATGAGAATTTGTTTGTGATCCTACTCTTGTTGTGCAGCAGAGGTGCTGCCGAAATTTTCACTGCACACAACAAGGGTCAGAAGCGAAGGTGAACGGGTGGTGGGTCTGAAGCCTGTTCGATGGAGGAGATCATCAAGAAGTTGAACCCTGCGGAGGTGTCAACTTTGATGAAGTTGATGAAGTTGTCGGCTGATGAAAACGCGACAAGACCATCGAAGAAGTTGGAGCTTCCGATCATCGATCTGAAGCTTGATGGACCGAGTACCTACCTGAGTTGGTCACAACGGGTGAGATACACCCTTACAGGGAGGAACCTGGAGGGTTACTTGACCGGAGAGAAGACAGAACCGGATGAGGACTCGGGAGGACGAGATGAGTGAAAGTCCACTCATATGTTGGTGTACATCTGCCTTCTCAACTCGTTGGTCCCGACGATCGCCGCCATGGTGGATGGCATTGAGAAGGTGAAGGACGTCTGGGAGAAGTTGAGGAGAACATATGATGGGGTGGGGAATAACCTGAGGGTGTTCCAGATTAAAGGAGAGATCGACGCCATAGTCCAGGGAGAGAGAACTGTACGGGAATATGTTATAGAGCTGGAGCGTCTGTGGCTGGACTATGATCATTTTCCCCCCCGGGCTAGCTGCAAGGACCCGGGATGTAAAGAGCGGGAGGCCTTTCTACAGGAGCGGACTATAGTGTTTCTCAATGGATTGACATCAGAGTTCGCTCAGCGAATTGCATTACTGCTAGCTCAGTCGAAAATTCCCACGCTTGAGGAGGCTGTCTCTGCTATGATCCAGGAGGAGACTCGCATTCGGCTGCAGGCGGGGACATGTGAACTTCCGGTGGTGAAGTCAGCACTGGCAGCCTCTAGCAATACTGGATCTAGGGGAGAGACTCGACAGTGCTACAACTGCGGTGCGGTGGGTCATCTAAGGCATGCTTGCACCAAACCACCCAAGGAAGGAGATTCAGGTGGACGTGGACAGTTCGGAGGTCGTGGTCGTGGCCGTGGGGGTCGACGAGGTGGAAGAGGAGCAGGGAATCAGGCGAATCTGACGGTAGCAGAAGAAGAAGAAGCTGAGGTGGTCTTTACTGAGGAGGATCGTGCTCTCCTGACGATACTCAGGAAGAAGCAGCAAGTAGCAGGGGATGGAGACTTGAGGAGTGGGACTGATGAGGCATCCACTTCGTTCTTCGCCAGAGGCAATACTGCTACCTATGCTCATCCGACCAAAGGTACTGATGACATACATGCTCTTGCTTCTATGTCTCCCAACAGATCATCAGAATGGATAGTCAACTCCGGTCCGTCTCGGCATGTGACAGGTAATGCTTGTGAGTTCTCATCATATACTCACTTAGCATCACCTGATAGTATTCAAACAGCTGATGGTACATTTCAGCC